TGAGTAAGTCGTAAGTCATGATGTGGATGTTTTGAACAATGACGTGCTTGTAATCAATAGCACAAGATTTTCAATCAATGTTAAGAAATTATCATGTGTACAAGAAGATGCGACCACTGGCATATGATTGTGAGCATGAACATAATACTTGCACAAACATGGGAACTCATTTGTGGGGGCAAGATGAATGCAATGTATGTCATTCATGAACAAAATGCAGAAAATATATGACAAGAAGATAGATAACAAATACAACATCTTGTGCCCAATATTAATATACAGTCGATCATATGAAATATTGTTGTCAACGCCAGTCAACTTGCAAGCAAGAACATGAACCTACTATACACATGACGGTTCACTTTCAAGTAACTACAAGAAGACTTACGAATGATTGTAGACCAATGTGAAGATTAATTAACCTGCAATTTTCGAACAATTGTGAGTGAAATCTCAACTAGCAGGAGAGCTGCCATGTATACAACATCTAGCCTGCAAGTGGAAGAGAGGTTTGTAGTGCATATGAGGGATATGCAATCGGTATTGCAATGTCCCTTCAAATGGCGGCGATTAATTAGCAAGTGAAGATCACAGTTCCTTATAAACTCTAAGAGTCAATGTACAAAAGATATAATAGCCCACTAACCAGTTTACATGGGAAGATCAGTGATGAACGCAACGACGCCCTGCATCCAACGTCAAAATACAATAAAGTACATCCACTTGCAAGAACTGCCGGATGCTTGTAGTATCTTGAAGATACAAGCTGCAATTGCTACAAGAATTAGATGAGGCACTTGCAAAAGTTACGGGAAAAGATTATAATTGGATTCAAATAATCTGAATTCAAACTTAAGCAAAATGCAGAAGGACTGAATTTGCACAATGAGGAATCAAACTCTAATTTGATGAATGTATAATCATCTAAAGAAATATAAGAGTTAATGAATGAGTTTGATTGTGCAAATAAAGATAAATAAATGAATGGAGAATTTATACTTACGTTTCAGATAGCATGATCGATTTTTTTTTTTTTAACCACAAGCAACAGTCGATATGAATGCGACATATGAAGAAGAGGACAAATATGAGCTAATATACCACACTCCAACAATCATTGTTAACTCATGCAAGATAACTTACTCATGAGTGACAATAAAAGCTCAAACAATTGATTGAATTGAAACAATTGAATTGGTTACAAGGTGATGTAGGACAGAAAGGAGCTCCGGAAATTTTTAACATGACGATGTCCGCATCACAAGGACATATGATGAATGCAATGATAATTAATATCATCATGCAAACAAGCAAGTGAAGTCTGCAAGTGATTAAAATTGAAAGGTGTTTGCAATCATTTGTATGGTAATATCAATGATGAAACTTCATCATGCAAGCTACAATTTATCCCCGAGGATGCTAGAAGATTTGCAATGCTCAACATAACTCATATATATAAGCAGTAGAACTGCAAAATGAATGAACATGAAGAAATGCAATAGTGCTTATTGAGTCCATAAAGAAATGATATTTTTACCCTCCGGGGTAATATATCATCATTCTTATGCCGTACTCGATCATAAAATATGCAATCTGTTTGAGGATACAAAAATTCTTCAACAAAGGATATACAGTTGGCGGGTAGAGGATATTTGGTGGAGCTGCACAATTTGGAGGGAGCTAGATTGGAAGAGGGAGGGGACATACCCCTCTCCATACAGCTGCTGATTCAACAGATCCAAGAGGTGTTTCAGCCCCCTCAGGGATTTCCACCGCAGAGGGGGCAAGAGCACGCCATCATTTTAAAGGAGGGTGTGTCACCAATCAGCGTACGACCTTATCGCTACCCTCAGTTTCAAAAAGATGTAATTAAAAACTTGATTCGAGAGATGCTGGAGGCAAGAATCATCAAACCCAGTGTTAGCTCCTTCTCTAGTCCAATTCTATTGGTGAAGAAGAAAAATAGCAGTTGGACTACAGAGCGCACAACAAGGAAACTGTACATGACAAGTTTCCCATACTAGTTATTGACAAGTTGTTAGATGAATTGAGTGGAACAGTGATATTTTGTAAGATAGATCTGAAATCAGGATACCATCAAATCTGAATGGAGGATGTGCCCAAGAATGTTTTCAGAACTCATGAGGGTCACTGAGTTCCTGGTGATGCCTTTTTGCCTCACCAATGCTCTAGCTATTTTCTAGGTACTTATGAATAAGGTTTTCAAACCTTATCTCAGATGATTTATACTTGTATTCTTCGATGACATCCTAGTCTACAACAGGACAGAAGAGCATTGGGAGCATTTAAAAAGGGTGTTAGAGGTGCTGAAGGAGCACCAGCTGAGAGCCAACTTGAATAAGTGTTGCTTCGCATAATCGGTGTAGAGTACTTGGACTATGTTGTATCAAAAGAATGGGTGACAATAGATCAGTCCAAAATTGAGGCAATGCTCAAATGACCAATGCCTAAAAATCTTAAGGAGCTGAGGGGATTCGTAGGACTAACTAGTTACTACTGAAGGTTTTTGAAGGGATACAACACCATAGCATGTCCACTCACTGAGCATTTGAAGAAGGATAATTTTCTATAGGGAGAGGCAGCCACATTAGCGTTTGAGAGCTTGAGAAGGCTATGATTACGGTACTGGTCTTAGCTTTGCTAGATTTCACTCAAATCTTCATAATGGAGACAGATACGTCTGGGTATGGGTTGGGTGCAGTGCTTATGTAGAGTCATAAGCATATTGCCTATTTCAGCCAGGTGTTGACTGTTTGAGCCAGGCTGAAGTCAGTCTATGAGAGAGAGTTAATATCCATTGTTTTGGCCATATAGAAGTGGCGGTCCTACCTACTAGGGAGAAATTTCATTGTCAGAACAGATCAGCGGAACTTGAAATACCTGCTGGAACAACGGATGGTGATAGAGGAGCATCAGTGGTGGTTGTCCAAGTTGCTAGGGGTACGATTTTGAGATTTAGTGCATGCCAGGAGTGGAGAACAAGGCGGAAGATGCCTTGTCCAGATGTATGGTGGAGCTGTAGTCAATGACACTATCTGTTCCTTTGATGCTAGATTGGGAGGCCATCAGAGAGGAAAGTGTTAGGGATGAGAATTTGGGAAAGATCATGATAGATTTATTGACGGAAGAGGGTAGCCATCCAGGGTACTCATTGGAGGGGGGAAAAATTGCTATATCATGGGAGGTTTGTGATGCCTGGAATTCTATCCACATTCCAAACTTACTACAGGAGTTTTATGGAAGCATTGTTGGGGGCCATTCAGGAGTGCAGAAGACATACAGTCAATGTTTAAAATTGCTTATTCGGGTATTGAGGCATTTTTCATTCGTGAGACGAGGCATAAGCGTCAAGGCGTTTTGAGGCGTAAGTCTCAAAATCAAAAGATTACGTAAACATAAAATGATAAATTTTTTATATACTAATGAGTGAATAATATAAAACATAAAAAAGCATAAGATATGAAGTGAAATCAAAATATCCCAATAATAAGACAACATGAAATATAATTCAACTCAAAATTCTATCTTTCCCAAATCCCAGTATTCTTTTTAACATATAATTCAAATTTTCAAAAATAAATAGCAATGACATATCACATAAGAACTCATAAGTCATCAACACTTTCATCACTAAGGGGTTCTTTATTTGAATCATCATTATGATGAACTGCTCTCTCCCCTTCCTCCTCTCCTATAAAGTCCAATGTCGGGCATTTACTTTAAGATTTATGTAAGTTTTAATATATATAGCGTGAGACGTAAGCCTCATGCCAGTGAGGCGAGGCGGGCCTCAACCAAGTTGAGGCGCAAGCCTCATTAAAAAAGCTCGAGACGTTTTTTACTCGAATTTTGCAAAGGCGGGCCTTAAGCAAGCCTCATATTGCGCAATGCTATCTTCGAAGGTTTACTGGAAGAGGATGCATAAAGATGTAGAGGAGCTGGTGGCCAGATGTGAGATCTGTCAAAGAAACAAATACTTGACTGTCACCAGGAGGACTACTACAGTCGTTGGCTCTACCGGGACGAGTATGGAAGGTGAATCCATGGACTTCATAGATGGGTTGTCCCGTTCAGAAGGTTTCACAATGATTTTAGTGGTGGTGGACAGACTGAGCAAGTATGCTCATTTCATCCCCCTCCGACACCCTTACACCGCTGTTACTGTGCTTCAGCTTTCATCAGAGAGGTGGTCAGATTGCATGGAGTATCAGAGGCGAT